GGAAATAGATTGGCGTTTATGTACGCTTTCAGCGAGCCAAAAACGTTTCACATCTAACGGTAACAAAGTTTCACTAAATACAGAAATATGTGCTATTTGAAGGAAGTTTCAATCTTGGACGTTGTTTACAAGTTTAAAATCCACGCACTTATAAAAATTTTGATATTATGATGTAGTAATTACGATAATCAGGTTAATCCATAAAGATTAATAAGTTAAAAATTGCATATATCAAGCAATAATGAAATAGTAATAATGCAATAAGTAAATACGAGCGGAAATATTACATTAACAAACCATCGATTTCCATTTTTATTCAATAATTGTGTGATATTACGAGAAAATTGAGATATTAGGTGGAGCAAAAAAATATTATTACATGTGTTATTCTAATATGCGTAAGTATTCTAATGCTGTTCGACCTATAACTTAAGAGAAAAATTCTTTTTATGACATATATTGTTCTTAAGCCATTATCCATCAATTTAGTGTTCTGTAAAGGAAACATGATATTTTATCTAGAACTAACGTTAACTATAATGAAATTTTAAATAGAAATGGTTAGGATTGAGTGAGCAATACTTAGTTGAAAAGGATAGCTAGCATAAAAATATCATCTTTCTTTACTATACAAATTTACAAAGTTAATTATTTTCGAATCGGCTATCTTGGGCAAAGAAATAATATTTTTGACGGCGAAATAGAATTAATACTTACGTTAATCCCTTTAACACCCCGTTAAACACTTTACAACCCTACTGTTACTACTATGTTTACATTTATTAACTAAAACTTCATCTCAAACGAAGACCTTACATAAAAAAATAATTAATTGAAGTAAGTAATTTGGTCATTTATGATTGACCTTTAAATATAAATGGATTAATAGTTAACTAAAACGTTTGTTTAGCCTTTCCAAAACATTGATGAAAATATTTATACCCATACTGCATCATTTCTATCTTAATATTAATTTTGTCTTTATTTAATTATTACTTCTTTATAATTACAAAAATGTATTTATGAGAAGTTAACCAATATTATAATTGATAATAGTGAAAATAACGGATAATATTTAATGGCCGTTAATTAAGGATTATTTAAAGGTCGTGTGATACAGCCTGGTGTTATGTCAATAATCAATAATTAAGAATAAAATAAGACAAATTATGTCATCAAAAACATTTTTTTCTTTCATATTAAATCATCAGCAGAGGTGAATTACAATTTTTTCAAATTATTTATTATTTTTATTATTGTTTTATTAATACTTATTATTTTGAATTATTATTACTATAAAAGGGAAACAGAAAGAAAATAATCCGAAAAAAATAAAATGTATTTTATGTAATTATTAAATTGTCTTATCAAATAAATTTATATAATATAGTGCATCATTTACATAATTAGATAATATACGTTTTGATAATTACAAAGTTTTTCTATTAATTATCTTTCTTAAAATACACTGATGGACAAATTTAACGCACCACTATATTTATTTAGTGTGAAATTAATTCCAATACTTGATAATCCGTACTTTGATAACTTGTACGTCAATTGACATATTGGAATCGAGTTGAACGCCACCTTAAATCTACAAAAATCTATTCGCAACAAATTTATTAAAATGCTCGTTGAAATTCTGTGATTATATTGCATTTATCTGAATTTGTTTAAAAGCAATCCGGTAAAAAGCTTTACCTCAATATCCATAAAGGAAATGCCTCTATAGTTTGAAACGTGCATTGTGTCGCCTTTTTTTTAAAGAAAAATTAAAGAGTCTTAAAAATTCTTCTAAAAACATACATTTTATTAAAGTGTAGATTTAGTTTTTCTAAAAAGTGCATTTAAAAAAAATTATATGGTATCCTGTTGCTAGTTTTATCTCTTTGAAAGACCAGTTTTCGTTGAACTTCGTAAGGTGAAATCATCTTTGTTAAATGATTCGAAACAATTATTTAATTTTTTATTAAAATATAATATTAATTCTTTATTGCAAATATATTTCTTTTGGTTAAATTTTTTAAGTATATCGCAAAATTGGTGTGAATCCTTGGGAGTTTTTAGACGATCAACTTGTGACTGAAAGTATATCTAAACACTCACAATAATCTAACTAATTAAGTTCTTTACAAAATACATTTCTCGTCAAACCAATATTGCTTTTTTTGTTTAGAACATTTCTATTTGCTTTTACTACATTTCTTGTCAAACCATTCTTTTTTTTATATTTAGTACATCACCATTTTCTTTTACTTTAAATCTCACAGCATATTTAATCCATCATATTAATTCACTCAAAGGCTCTTCAGAATTAAGCTCCATCAAGTCTCTTTTAGCCATTTTGTTTTCAACTTTAGTTTTGAATTCCAAACTTTCCGTTTTAGACCAAATTAATTTTGGGATCAACAGCATCATATATTCAATTTCTCGAAGAATTTCAAATTTTGCAATATTTTCTAATAATGAAGAAATAGTACACCATTGGTCATTAACTGACGAGCCGATCTAATATTGTAATTATTAGTCAGACGCATTTGAAATCATTGCTTATGGTTTGAAAAAATGGAAAATTTTCCAATTGGAAGAAAATCGTGAATTTTCGTTATCTCTTATTTGAGCGGAAGAATGGACGGTCTCACATTGTATATAGTGCTGATTCTGATGGCGAATAAGTACATGTTAAATGTGGTGTACCTCAGGTAAATAAGCTTGGACCATCGCTTTTTTATACTGTACAATGCATCACTGTTTTTGTAAATGGATAGATTACCGTTTTTGTTTTGCGGGTCATAAGGTACTATTTTTATTAACAACAGTTTTGATAAACTCATTGAATTATTTTTTATCTTAACCAATACCTTTCTTAAATCTTAATTAATTGAAAAATGTTAATTAGTCAATCGGACCACGAACTGTAATGGATTTAATCATTGATTTAGTTTTAAAAGATTTTATTAATATTAATAAATAGTAATTAATTTATGTTTGGCTTATTATTTCAATTAATAAATAGTAATGAAATTTATTATAAAATTACAAAATAAGTAATACTTTTTATACTTCCTAAAGCGTTGATTACACAATAGTCATCTGGTGAGTTTATTGGAAGGAAAACCAGAAACAAATAAAAACGCAGAATTACTAAAAAATAAAAATTCTCCAAATTAAAAAAAATAGCAAGATTGCTACATATTGTAGAACATATTTATTTAATCATTCATAAGACTTAACATATCTTAGCTTTCGTAATATACCATATTTAACAACTACTCAAATCTTACTCTCCAGGACTGTAGGGCATAATTAAAGGACGAACATCAGTCTGCACAGTTATAAATGAGGTAATATCTTCCCGCGACAGAATTTTTTTGCCGAAGTAAGTGGCTCTTACCTTCCAGAGTTGTGAACATAAACCCGAAACGTGATAACAGTCTTCTCGGACGTTAAATTGCAAGGTGAGAACAGTTTAACAATAAAGTCCTTCTTATGCCATGGTTTAGAACGTAAAAGCCTACCTCGCCTCGGAGTTTTGGTATACCATCTTAAGTCTAAGTGATTCAGATTTTTTTGTTTGTTTTCTACAATGAGTATGGTCAGAATGAGCACGTTGAACATAAGATAATCAGTTGAAATAATCAAGGTGATGAGCGCTTAATGCTCTAAATATTGATCATTGTAACAACAAATTTGTGAATAGTACCATCCTTTAAAAGTGATGAAAATCAATGTTACTTATCATAGAAGGGCGAAATTCAATTGGCATCCCATGGAGCCAAATGTTCTAAGGTAACTACGATTAAACAAGTATATGGTTTAATTAATTAATTGTAAAGAATTTATTTGGTCAAGCGGACCACGAAATCTAACAAAATGTTATCTAAATAATTGAACTTTGATGTTAATGGGATCGTCGTCGTTAAGGATAAAATTCTACGCCCAATTATGCCGTGTATTTTTTTTTAACGTGAGATAAGGTACAATGAAAGCGTGTGGCTTCAAGATAATTCCTCAACACTGGTATTTATTCACAATTTCACAATAGGGCAATAGTCCTTCGGCTGCACGAGCGAGTGATCCGCAAAAATGACATTATCATCGACCTAGAGTAAAGTTTTTAACTCGTTCTACTAATAATTAAACCATTCTTCAGAAAAATTAATTTAAAATTAATTACAACCAGATGTTAATATTTGTTGTGCGATAATAGCCAATAATTTGGGTCGAAAATCAAAGAAGCTTCTTTTTATCAAATCGGTTGAAACTAAAGACTTCGTTGATATTTACCCTTTGATGATGGAGTTCCATCAAAAAAGTCCACCGAATGTTGAAAAAAAATCGTGCATAACGTGGGAGTATGTTTTGACTGTTAAAATGTAAGTACCTTATTACTTAACAAAGTTAGACAACCTTTTCATAAATTTAATATTCATAGAAACTTTCTTTAATAACGGCTTCTTAACCATGGTTAATTCATTATTTTTTACAAAATTACTCAATTTGTTAATGTAGATTATTATTATTATTATTATTAATTTTTAAGGGCGTTTTAACGGCTAAGGTCATTTCACGCCCTAACATCCACACCTTCTATCTTAGGTTAGCTATATCTCTTCTGAGTGCTATAAAGCTCTGACTCCAAACATTCACTCGTAATCTTATTTATCCTATTGCCATCCAAGCTTTAATTTTTCTTTTTAAAATTCTTAATTCGGAAGGCCAAATGCATACAAAATTCCCATTTTAAATTGCATAAAATTTAATAAAATTATAAAATTTATTTCTGTTTCTTTTTTAATTAGAATTGTGAATTTTGTTCCATAATTTAAAAATTCCCCGTAGGCTTGTTGTTAATGTAGATAAAAGCATTTTACGTAAATTGTGTACTGGGCAAAATATGGGTATATCGATAATACTACATAAAAATCCTAAATTTAATACTGCTAAATTAGTATTAAAAAAGTGAATGATATCGACAGGATAACATAAATAACGCATTGTAAGAGCATAACAAATTTATTTGAAAAATAATAGACAATTATTGGCATAATAAGTAGCTTCGAGGGTTAAATATTTATTTCCAGAACGAATTTGTGTTAGTCCTTCAAGTTGTATGTGTTTATCTGGAGGTCGTCTTCTTTTACGCGTTGCAACTGTTTTGAAACTGGTATCTATGTCGCCAAGGACGACAAGGACCAAATATGGATATAAATGTATCCATATACTAGGATTTGTTTTTAAAGGTGTGGAACTAGTAAATTAATATTTATTTGATTAATACATGCATTATTTATTGGTTTTGCATAAAATAAAAAGGAAGCTAAGTTATTTATAGTTCAAACATACATTTTTGGTTTGACTAAATATAAACATATCAATATAAATATAATGATTATTTGGAGGTTTTATTTGGAGAAAAACATAATCTTTCTCGTGCAAACGTTTCGATCTTTATTAAGATCATCTTCAGGACCTGGGACTTTTAAACATTGTTTAAATTTTGCAAATGCATGTAGGATGTTGAAAAAAATTGAATTTATACAATGCTAGAAAATTTTAGATTAGCCCATGAAGGGCACTCTCGACACGACAAAAAAGAATGACACATCTACATGGAAAACAAACAATTTGAGCCCTGAAGATGATCTCAATAAAGATCGAAACGTTGGCACGATAAAGAAAATGATTTTCTAAAACCTACGTCACAACAGACGTTATCTCACGACCTCCAAATAGTAACGGTCACTAAACACCACACATAAATATAATGGTAACATAATTTTACAAAGTAGGATCTTTAACAATATCAGGAATGCTTAATTATTTATTAATAATTATAATAAATTATTAATTTATTATCTGTTGTTGAGTCCTATTGGTAGTATTAGACCAACGTTAAATTTGACCTCTTGTGAGAATAAAGAAGTGGTGGAAAGGGTGGTGTCGGCACGAACTTGCCCCACCCTTTTTTCGTGCAGATCGTGCCATCTTTGAAAGACACCTTCCCCCTTACAAGGACGACATCCGGCACGCCGTGAACTACCATGCCTTCGAATATGTTGAAGTCACAAGCGTGATGGTGTGTAGTGGCAGAGATTGTCCTCACTTTATTAGGATCCCATATAACTACATCCGCGTCTGAGCCGACCCTTATGCAGCCTTTTTTCGGATAAATGTTGAATATCTTTGCAGAATTGGTACTTGTGATTTCGACGAATCTTTCCGGGGTAATTAAACCGGAGTGAACGCCCATTTCCCAAACGACGGAAAGCCTGTCTTCCACTCCGTTCACTCCGTTGGGAATCTTGGTAAAATCGTTTTTTCCTATTGACTTTTGATCAATATTGAAGGTGCAATTATCACTTCCCGTCGTGGACAGAACGTCGTCGGCTAAATGGCGCATAAGGGTGTTGGGCGTGGTTTTATCTGACCTGATCGGCGGGCTCATCACGTGGGCCGCTTGAACACGAAAATCGTCTGTTTCCGGGGCCGTCGTGCCCAGTCCTGCAGCCAGAGTTTCGCCAAAAATCCTGCAAAAGTCTCTTTTCCTCCTCGTCCCAATCATCTGCGCGGCGGAATCACTCATCACATGAACGACGTATAGTGGGCTGTCTACATTCTCGGCTATCATGCACGCCCGGTTCGTCGCTTCCGCTTCGACGCACTCAGGCCTGGAAAGCGCGTGACCCTCTGGACCGGTCACACCGTTCGCCAAAAGTCGTTTCGCATTTTCGACGATCACGTGTCCGTTCTCGGCATGGACCATCGGTACTGCCCCTAACTTTTTGCAGTGAAGAAATGCCTGATAGATGTCTGCGTCGTCCAACATCATCATATTTTTATAAGCCATGAATACTTTAAAAGAGTTGATACCGCATTTTTCGACAAGATACTGCATGCACTGTTTTACCGTTTCGTCCCATGACGTGACTCCCATGTGTAGGGCATAATCGCAGACGACTTTCTCGTCCGCCTTTCTTTTGTAGGAATTGTAGGTGTCCAACAACGACTCGCCTTTTTTCGGTATGGCGAAATCTATTATAGTCGTAGTGCCACCAGCGACTGCAGCTCGGGTCCCACTGTAAAAATCGTCAACAGATGTTCCTCCCATGAACTCGAACTCTAAATGCGTATGGGGGTCTATGCCCCCTGGAAATACAAATTTACCGGTCGCATCAATTACCTCCGTGTCACTGTCGGGAGATAAATTCGTACCTATTTTTTCTATAACTTCTCCAACGATAATAATGTCTCTGATTTCTGATATATCCGCATTAACAACTCTTCCATTCTTGATGAGTATTTTACCTGCACAAATCAAGTAAAAAAAAATATTAGTATAATGTTAAGCTATGTATGTACCATTTCTACCAAAGAAGGTAGGCAACTATACTGGTCACTATAACAATACTAAAGGTTTTCCATAGTTGCCTGCCTGAAATCGTAACAATAATACCACATTGTTAAATGTTGTAATTGAGACGACACGAACAGGATGTTTGAACCAAAAATTCCGAATATATCTGGGTACAAAAAAAAAATGGGAAAGAAATGGAAATAACTCCTTTAAAAATGGCACCATCCTCTGGTACACAGATGGATCTAGAACACAAGAATAACACAAGAAGGTTCGGGGGCAGGAGTATTCGGACCCGGAACCAAACACTCAGAACCCATGGGAAAACACACCAGTATCTTCCGAGCTGAGATTAATGCAATTGAAAGATGTACCCAATTCAATCTAAGTAAAGGGTACAAAAACAAGAATATCGCTATCATGTCAGATAGTCAAGCAGCCATCAATGCACTAAGCTCAAGTATCATTACTTCAAGGATGGTGCTGAACTGCATAACCAAATTAAACCCTCTTGCAAGGAAAGGGGCCGCCACGCTGCTGATAGGACCCGAACCATTCTGTGGCAGAGGAATCCACACTATTAATGAGTATCTCAGACAGAAGGACAAAAAGAAAATGAAGGAACAATGGAATTCACTCATTGGACATAAACAATCCAAGAATCTTCTATCCAATTTTCGTAAGAAAGAAATCACAGAATGTGTCAAAAGAAGCAGAAACAGACTACGAATCCTAACAGGATTCCTAACAGGACCCTGCAGATTAAATGGACACTTAAAGAAAATTAGAACAATCCAAGATGGCACATGTAGATTCTGCAAGGAGGCAGAAGAGACAACAACACATTTACTAACAAACTGCGGAGCTACATTACCCCGCTGGAAGAATTGTTTTGGGATGTATAATGTGACCATAGAAGAGCTACAACCACAGAAACCGGGCCTAATAATCAAGTTTCTTGATGAAATAGGACTCACCGATGTGCTTTAGCCAGAGAACGTGGGATACAATAGCTCTTATAGGGCGCAGTATATCATGCCCTGAAAAATTACATCTACATCTACATCTAAATGTTGTAATTTACATATTGTTTTTTGGTAAGTTAGTTATATGAATGGTTAATTAATGAATTTATGATTGATTTTAAGTTGTAGACAGGTAGGAATTAACTGAAGGCACTTGGGGTCGTCGGTGGCCGCTGCCGTAACGTTTTAGGCGATGGACAAGCGCACATCGCTGTAAGACAAATGTTCCGAGTTCGAAAAATCGACGTACTTAAAAAAATTACTTAATGTATAATTGTGATTTGAGAAATAATTATGCTCTGCGGAAAAAATGGTTTGTTTTTGTTTTTAAACTCTTCGATAAGTAAGAATTATGAGCGATCATACAAAATCAAACACGCTGCGACTAATTTAGGTTCGTATTGAGCGACGTATTCAGGACAAAAAGTTATGAGGGATATGCAAATGGCCTTTTTGCGTGATGCGGACATAAAAGCGCTGTCAGTAATATGCTAATCCTGGTTTTATCCCAACCGATTGCATTTCGAGAAAAATATTGCTCAGTAATCACTCTTTTTGACCATCCAATAAAGATTATCATTGAGCCAAACCGCAACCGTTTAAAGTTATTCTCGTAACGAACTTTGATGTATGCTTAAAAAAATATTCATGTTCACTTTGTCGCTGTCAATATATTTTTGGTGTTTAATTTATTTTGAACTGATCTAGAGTAAGAATAAATCTTAGATTATTGAAAGTATCATAATAACCTTTATTCTATTTGAAGAAATGCCTAATAAAATTTAGATTGGTCAGTTCGACATAAGAAACAGAAAATGGGCAGAGCTGCATTGTTAAACAGAATCCACGTTTTATTCCAAACTAATTTCTATAAAAATTAATCTTACGCACTCCCTTTAGTTTATCAACCACAAAAATGTCTTCCCCAAATGTTGGCTCTGAATAACAATTGTAAAATATTCCAATAAACACATGTTATAAGAAATTATTTATTATAGGTTAAAAAATATTGTGCATACTGTAATAAGAATAACATTATTAATAAGGCGGATTATTGAGAAATTTTAAATATGTAAACAAATAAGCCATTAAAAACTAATTTATGGTTTAATTTCAACCCAGAACCAAATTTTTCGTATCCTTTCAGCCACATGAAAGTTATACTTTTACAAGATTGAGTTGATTATAATTCGTGAGTGATATTCTAACGCCTCCAAAATGTAAATAAACGGGTGTTTGGTAGATTCTTGTCAATATGAACAATGAAATGAATATATTGAAAAAGTTGTGCTACATACCAAATAAACGTGATTTTGACATATTGATTTGATTAAACTCCTTGTTGCATATCATTTGAAGTATATTTCCTTGCCTTATTGATGATAATATGTGGTGTTTAGTGACCGTTACTTGATCATTATTTGTAGGTCGTGAGATGCCGTCTGGTGTGACCTAGGTTTTAGACAAATATTTTCTTTATCGGCCAACGTTTCGATCTTTATTGAGATCATTTCAGGGCCTGGGATTTGTAAACATTGAATTTTGTTTATTAATCACAGGCCCTGAAGATGATCTCAATAAAAATCAAAACGTTGGCACGATAAAGAAAATGTTTTTCTGAAACCTACTTCACACTAGATCGGATCTCACGACCTCCCCCACGTTCTCCAAATAATAATTAATGATAATAACCCTTCACAACTACTAAACGTGTTTGTACTAAATATGTTTTTGTTTATCTTTCTTTTTCATTTTCACTCTTGTTTTCTCAAAATGATATGAATTTCGTTTTTTGTGGACAATCATTCCTTATTCTAAAATGTAGTTATTATAAAATAGAAACCTACCATTTAATTTGGAATATATGCAATATTTAATTATTTAAAATATTATACAATAAATTTAATATTATATACAATAATAAAATATGTACACAATACATTTTCATGAATTGTAAAAACCCAGCGTGTTAGCTAGTTAAACACACTAGTTTAAAAAAATACGGAAGTTGAAACTGAATATTCATAGACTCACTATGATATGACAATGCACAGAATGTGACAAATGTATTCGTACTTACGTTGCATACTGGAGCAGTACCTTGCTGACAACAGCTTGTCCTTCCGAGCCGGTTTTCGTTTTATAGTTCTCCCACCAACGTTATATAACAGTCTTCCTTCTAGATATGTTAAAATACTTGAAATGATCGAAACAAATAAATGTAATAGCCTGCCTATAAAATTCGAAATATTTCAGACTTAAAAAATAACAGAAAGTTGTTTAAATAACAAACTCCAGACCTACAATTATTTTATTTTCTATATATTTAGAAAGACAGAGAAAGTTCTTGATAATCTGATTTGACGTTATATGACCTGATAAAAGAAAAAGCGTTAGGGCCATAACGCTATTTTAATATACAAATTAACAAAATCGATAATATTGTTGACTTTGTTCAACCACCCTACCTATATAAAACATTTTTTATCAACACTTGCGTACAATAAAAATTATGTGAAAAGATGTATTAATATTATTTAGTTCCTGTTGCATTATTATGTTTTGCTTATTTTGAGATCGTGAGGTGTGGTTTGGTGTGACGTAGGTTTTAGTAAAACTTTTCTTTATCGTGCCAACGTTTCGATCTTTATAGAGCTCTTCTTCAAGGCTCATAGTGCTTGTTTTCCGTGTAGATGTGTCATTGATGTGTGTCGTGTTGAGATTGTTAGTGAGATATTGATGTATATATATGTTGGATTTTGAGGGGTGGGGAAGAAAGTCGGGAATAGAAAGACATTTTTATATGAGGAGTCGGCTGCTTTAAGGTGAAAGGAGCCGACAATAGGAAAAATGGGGAATGGTTCGGCCTGATATCTTTTCAGGATTGTATAGACGGAGATAATTAAGGAAAGGAAAGCCAAAATGGTCCAGTAGAAAAATGATGTTCCATTTTTTCAACATTTGAGAAATTCTAAATTTAAAGTTTCATGACTACTGGTGAAATAGTTTCTTTTTTGATGCTTGATTCAATAATTGTAATAACATTTAGAGTTCTTTCTGAGTAATTCTCATGATCCAAAAACCATTAAACCCTCATTTCGAACAAAGGAATTAATAAGAAAATACCATGATTACGAAATTTTATTATTAATTTCAAAAATGAACAAACATGTAAAACGAAAATTCTGAAATGATATCTATGGTCAAAATTTTAGATTAATTATCGTAACAACAAAACTGAAAAATGTTAAAAAGCTCTAAGGTAAAAAGTTTTAAGTTATTCATCTTCTAACTCATAATCAAAATAAACATCATCCTGAGTTTCTGAGGCAGTTCTATCTGTGACCAAATTATTGTAAAACCTCCTGCAACTTCGTTGGTGAGAAACGTTAGTTGTTGCATGTCATTATATTGTCCCATATTAATAGGAAGGGGCCCATCGTAGGAGTTACGAAGCTGCTGTTTTTGGTGCGGGGTTCTTCCACTTTTTTTGCCTTTGTGGCACCCACAACACGTTGTGCATATTATAAGCTCCACAGAATGAAGTACGGTTGTGTATATACTGTGGTGGGTATGATATATCTTTAAACGTCGAATCGTTCTTGCGGAGATGGAACATTTGGGTTTGTATATCGGTACTTGTACCACGATTTGAAAAGTTCCATGTGTTTCTAAAAAGTTACGCTTGTAATTGCTTTTTTCTGTGTGTAATATTTTTGGATTGTTGAAGTCGACATTGTGTGGGTGTTCAAAGTGGTGGGTAGGCAATCCTGTAGAATTTTGTTCGGGTTTTTTGCATTCATTGATATGCTGCTTTCCTCTCTTATCCAGATATTGGGATGCAATATCCCACTTTTACATTTTTTCACATCCTACATGTATTTGTAAAATTTAAACAATGTTTATAAATCCCAGGCCCTGAAGATGATCTCAATAAAGATCGAAACGTTGGCACGATTTTATTTGATTTAATAATTTAAATCCTACGTCACACCAGACCGCATCTCACGATCTCCAAATAATCATTACCTAACGGTCACTAAACGCATAATGATTTACATTCATTTAAATTGAAAATATGATTTGGGAGATTTCATAAAATATTAGTACTTATTAATTATTCTAAAGTAATTGTCAAACTATTCAAAGGGTTAATTATATTAAGAAAGTGTTGCATTAAAACAAAGAGAAAATATTTCTACTATAGAACCAAAGTTGACGAGTATTTTTGAGGGAGAGGACGGATATAAAGAAAGAGACAAATACAGTGTAATTATGTTTTAATATTTGTAATATGGTTGGAAACAGCCTTTACATCAATCACAAAAAGGCATACGCCTTTTTATAGTTGCCCATGGCCTTTTTTATATTTCATGCATTTAGGTTTCTTCTTTCTATCTGTTTTTAACGCTGTATGCACACCCCATTGAAAAGTGGCACTATGACGTCAAGAGCTGTGTGTTAAGCAGGCTGGTGCTGCCTCTCCTCAGCAATATAGTGTGTGATGGCTGGATTGCGAGATATCATCCCCAACTATAGCCCGGAGGACGTGGCCGGTCCATAGTAACAGTGTGGGTTTAGCCCCGAAAATCGTCAGCATTGGTTTCTTCTGGTGACGATCAGGTATTGTGTTAACCTTGTCTATTTTGCAAACCTACTTAGATTATTTTGTCCGCAACCCTTTTATGGTCAATTTGTACGGAGGCCTAGAGGGTTATCGAGGAATTTTGGCAACAACCACAAATACCTTCACTGCAGGTCAAACAACAATCTCGGCGAATGGAGATTTGTGCGTGGATTTAAGTTTTCGCATATTTTGGCGTTCCACCTTCTGATCTAGGCCTTTTGGTAGTCATTTGCGGTGAGTCAGCAGTTATCCTTTATAAGTTTTCTCTCATCACTGTCTTTTTGGCTTTCATCACGCCCATTGCGTTTCCCGGCGTTTCGGACAAAACTCAGCTCTTCTACCGTTAGGTTAGCTAATTTGTTCGAGGAAGTTAGCGTTAGTAAAGCTAAATGAGGTACCATTCAGTCCCTCGCACGTTACCGTACACCTTAACTTATGTTAGGATTGTCTCCGATAGCCTACAATTCCCAGTTAATAAACAGGGATCGTCCCCGGAAGAGATTTCCACTTCGCGCAAGGTTTAGTCCAGGACATTTATCGGAATTTCTGGTTCACCCAGTCTAGGCCCCATTTACAGCCCTGTTGTACTGGTGGTTGACTAGGTGCTGGAATTTCATCGTAATCGACTTCTGAACACCCCTTTCCAAAAATTTCTATTTATATCTAGCAACATTAATTTGCTAATTCTTGAGATTCAATATTATTTGGAATTGCATTCCATCCTACTTCAAATTTTGGTCCATCAATAAATTCTCTTCTATTTTTTTTATATTCTCCGAAAGTAATGGGATCTCACAAAATAACATATAACTGATAATTATTTAAGAATAAAGTGATACATGGTAAAAATCGAATAATTTTCCATTCCCATGAGATCCATAGAATGCCGCAGGTTGGGGTTTGGCCAAAACCAGATTCCGGAAGTTCTACAGCCAAAACACGGGTACGACTGTGATTGTACGATCTCCCACATAATAAAAAAGTAACGCATTATTAACAACACGAGCTACAAAATCCATGTTCACTACGTTCTTTGCAGCAAAAATAAAGAATTTCAATTTGGTCAACAGACATCTCTAACCTCATTGAATGACCTTCCTGGGTATAAATATTACACTTTTTTGACAATTTTACTTAATCGATGCAAAATATGTCGGAAAACGAGACATACACAAAGCAGTGGTTGAATTATAACGACAGGTAGGGGGACTTCATCTCTACTGCAAATTTGACTGTGCACACCATATTTTGGAGAGTTGTGTTGCTGTAACATTGATTTATCCCGGCTAATCCGATTGGGTATTTGCTAATAACTCCATAAGTTCTTTCTACCTGTTGATTTGGAACAATTTTGAGCAGAGATCAGGAGTCTTTTTGAGTTTAAGTAATCATGATCACAAATGCCTCTTTCTTAAACTATTTTGATTTTCAGCAAATCTTTGTATTATGTTGGGGTATGGCACAATGGTTCATTTAGAATCATAGTTGTGTTAAAATTCTTGCGGACAATCTACCAGTACGTGGATGTACAACGATTACAAAGCTCTTGCTACACTGAGAGTCCAAAAATGGCCACCGTTATTATTTTAAATTATCTCTTATACAGTTCTGCAATAATTATCTTACAGCATTATTTGGTCCGTTTTAAAGGATTAAAGATAAATAAAACACAGACAAATTTTTCCACGTGTATTTACAATTGAATTTCGGAATTACAATAAATTTTTGAATGGTCAATCTACTCTTTGTTGGGTTTTCTGTAAATCTTCTTTCTAACGTTCCTGTGGTTGAACTTTAAGTTGTAGAAAAAAGGGCATCAAATATATTCCTCTATGGTGATTTGGACGTTGAAGTGGCCAACAAAATAATCAGAATAAATTCTCCTAAATTAACCCTATATAATATCACATAAATGTTAACACGAACGGAGAACATTATTTAAACTAATGTGAAAAAAGAAGTATATAGAATGAAGAAACCTTTAAAAGGTAATATAACTTTCCACATTTTGGATTTTGGCGTATGCAGTTTCAGCTCTGAAGAAAAGTTAAGTAGTCATTACACAAATTGTTTTTTTAAATTATTATTCATATTAGCAAAAATATTTTAAAGAAAAAATATAACATATGGGTAATGAAAATGGATACCAGTAATCATATGGATAATTATTAAATAACCACAACTAATTATGACAAATTTAATTTTTGTATAAACCACTGAAAATTTTAGAGGCGTAGAGCTGCTTTTTCAGTCCTCAAGACGATATCCAGCGCGTTCAAGAAGTCCTGGTAATCGATGTAAAGTTTGTTGTTGATCTCGTATCCGAAGCCTTTCATGATAGAATCCGCTTCTGCAAGAGAGATCAAATGGAGGACCCCTAATTGGAACAGGATGTGGAGGAAAGTCTGCTTGTCCACCACCCCGGTATTGTTTACGTCTTCAGCCTGGAACAACAGCGAAACACTGTATATAATAGACCCAAGAGACGATCTGAAAAATTTGAGTACCTTGAATAAATCGTAATTCCCAAGGGTCACCTTCCTCGAAAGTTTTTTGACAGCTTGGGAAATACGGACACGGTCTGCGAAATTGACGAACTCGTGCGGCTGCTTGGCGACTTTTTCCTTCTCATATCGCATCGCTTCATGCAGCGGCATACGCGAGAGGCAAGGCACGTTCGAGCCTTCGTCGACTGTCGGATAGAACAAACCGTACTCGATAAAATTAGCATCGCCGTCTTTGTGGAAGCTGAAAACAACAAAGAACTTTTAGAAGATAGATTATAATGTAAATCTTTAAAACAATACACTACAATATATATATATATATATATCCTGAGAGAAACCTATGTTTATTTTCCAGAGAGGCACAGTTTTCTTTAGTAAAAAACGTCACTGCCTCAAGGAGTTCTTCATGCTCGAGGTAATGGAAGATTTGATGAAATCGGTTTGCCGCGGATATGAGACCTCTAGGCTATGGCTATGAACGCTGCGTGAGCACCACCCTCGAGACTTTAATATCGCCGTATAAACATAATATATTTGTTGGCTTTCCTCAAAAGTGTCCGACAACGGAAAGCACTGCCCTGGGCTTTCTTTAAAGACCCGTGATTTCCGTTCTAATACATGCCGCATTGTGGGGTTCGCGAAAATTATTAAAACTGATGGTCTTTAAAACGTTTTACTCACACTTGTCGTAGACAGTTTTTCTCCGGATCTGAAAGAGAAATCCCGTTGTTTTCCAACGTCGAAAGAAAAACAAACCAAGGTAGGACGCCCGATTTTTCCTCGTCGAGGTTTTTCAGCTCGTGCTCAAGTTTCACATGAGAACAAATTATCTGAAATAAAATAAATGCAAAATAACAGATATAATTATTCTAATAACGTTGAGTATTTCATTCAAAATGCAATTTATTTAACATAAATATATTTTATTTAAAAGCATGTCAACGATCATTTAAGATTGATAAATTAATCCAAAGTGTTAGTCTAGTAGAACAAACAAAACGTTATATATTATGCCTATATAATGAAAAATGATAAATGGTTTCAGTCAGTTTATTATAATGAGACCTTGTTTTTGATGGTATTGTTAAGGTTGAATTTAACGGGAAAAATATTTTTTTAAGTTATCACTTTTTTTGGTTATTTTTTAGGAATAAATTATTTCATGGTTATATGTGTATTATGTACTGACTGTTCATTAATGATTATTTAGAGATCGTGAGATGCGGTCTGGTGTGATGTAGGTTTAGAAAAACAGTTTCTTTATCGTACCAACGTTTTGATCTTTATTGAGATCATCTTCAGGGCCTCGGATTTGTAAACATTATGTAATTATACAAATACATATAAAATATGACTATGAATTTATACAATGATTAATGAATATCTCACTAGCTCTCTCAACATGACACACAACACATTTACACAAGACACATCTACACAGGAAACACCCTCTTTGAGTGAGAATAGACCTAACATTTCTAAATTGGGTTAAATTCATTTTCACATCTTACAGATATTTGTATAATTTAAACAATGTTTATAAATCCCAGTACCTAAATATCGAAACGTTGGTACGGTACAGCAATTGTTTTTCTAAACCTAAAAGACACCAGACTGCATCTCACGACCTCTAAATATTCCTACGGTACATAATTCCTGAAATATGCATAAAATATAGTTTGCAACAAATATATGATATAGATAATTTTGTATTTACCATAATTTACCAAAAAAATTAAAGAATGTAGACATAGATAAAAACCATATGAAATAAGTCGTTGTAGAAGAAAAGAAAAGGAAATATGCATTTACCAACTTCATAAACAAATTATCAATAAAATATCACTAGTTTATAAAATGGACAAAAATAACTTAAAACTATTATAATACAGAAAACAATTAATTTAAAAAGTGGTAGAAATAATATACAATTCACGAAATAAACAAATGGAGATAAGAATAAAGAATAAATAGTGTAAAGAAACATAACTATTTGAAAGCATAACATTTTGGTTTAAATCAAATTATTTTCTGACCTTATAATTTTGTCCAAGCTAAAAGTCATTTCAATGCTCTAACGATCCGACACTATTTATATTTTGTATACTCTCTATACGAAAATATTCATCTTTGCTTTACATACATATTTGTAAGCAAATTAATTATATAAGTAATAACAATTTTCCAATTCTATATTACAAAATTGACATACGATTCGTTTGATTTTTGCGAGTATTTCCACTATGTTGTTTTCCATAAATTCTTGTTCCTTGGCTGCCGCCCGTTCCCGCTCCATCTCTTTTTCTTCATTTTGTTGCACTCCATAACCCTAAAATCGGTTGAAAATATATAGCCATTTTTAAACATTTTAAAATACTCACTAAGTTTTTCTTTTCAATGCGCAATGGGAAATCTTCCGCCAGTTTTTCATAGTTGATCTGTTCCTCACCGATCCCGTATTTGTGTAGAAAATACATCAGTTCTTCTTCAGAGAACAAAAAGTGGTAGCGCTTCATTGCCTCAGCAAATTCCATTAAGGTAACAGTGCCGTCTTTTTTGCTGGACATTTAAACATTAATTGCTAATTATGTAAGGTTTTGATTGAAATGAAAAAGTTAGTGTCATGAGCGGGATTCGATCCACGACCTTCGTCTTCCAATCCAGATCGTGACAATAACTTTTTCATTTCAAACAATACCTTCCATGAAAAAATTAATTAATTGATAAAAATAATTTGGTCAATAAACCACTAAATATAATGGCATTAATTGTTAAGTTCGATATAATTTTACATGCTGGGATATAATTTGTATGACATTAAAATTAAATGTTTAAGATTCAAGTTCTAACCGAATAGACAACATAACAAGTTTTTACAATTTCACACAAAAATACTTTGTTGTAAGTACCAAATTTTGATTAAAATTTAGATCTGTGCATTAGTTATTACCAGTTAGCTGCATTTAAACTTGGAAACAATATTTTGTTTAAAAAGTTATTTGCTCTTCTACTAATATTTTATTAAAACATGTTCTACAAATATCTATCTACTTTAAAAATCAATGTGTGTGTATATATATNATATATATATACACCACTAATAAACAATTATTTTTGTTATCATTTGGATGAAAATGATTTTCTTCATATAAATAAAGAAAATAACACAGTCATGTATTACGTTGAAAGCAGTAGTAAAATTAAAAATGGATAAAATTCCTCATATTATTTATTAAAACTGTACCTGTCTCTTGCTCTGAGTAGTGCGTGTATGTTGGCGTCTCGATCTATCACCTTCTTGTAGAACTCTTCGAAAAATTCTTTCTTGGGAAGAATCGCCGGGGCTGATTCCGGGTACGGAATCCGTGGCAATCGGTCGATCATCATGTCGGGTGGTGTTGTGAGAGGCGTTGGCGGCCAATTGGCCACTTCTTCCATGTTCATATCTGAAATCCTTATTGTTAGAATTATGAACTAGCATTGAGACATCGGATACAACCTTCGTACACATCTTTGACGAACGGATGCCAGAGGAATCTATCGGATTCTTCAGGATCGATGTAGAGACTGGTTATCAGCGATTTTTCATGTTGCGACAGGTGTAAATCCGTGAGCGTCTTTCTAGAGTACTTTATCCATTCGAGTGCTTGACGGAAGTGTAATGTCGGTATCTTTCCTGTACCACGAGGGTCCCTCCTCTTAAAAAAATTATTAAAACTTTAGTGAACTGCAGAAATACCGACGAGACATATCATAATCAGTTAAAACAAAGGATTTTATTTTAAAATTTACCAGAAAATAATCACAGAGATTAATTTTTTCGAATTTTATATGTTGTTTCAATCTGGCGAATGCTAGAACAAGGACTTCTTTCCAAGGAAATTTTGGATCTGTGCGGGCCCTACTAAGGCCGATTCGATTCCAGTCAATTTCTGCAGCATGCATATCCGGTGTGGGAAGCATCGGGAATTCAACGTTTGGATATTGGGACTTATAAATCGGAAGCAGTTTCTATAAATAAAAGTCATACGGTGTTACTGATTTATTGATTGAAAAGTTCTTAAAAGCGTACTCCTGAAGTGTCGAGCATTCCACGATCCTTGAGGTGTTCTTTTATGGCGATGAGATCCTTCAAAAAAGCAGCGTATTTGATGTTGTGTGATGCAAAGCTGTATTTGCTTAGTATTAATTCTCGCTCGTCATCTGACAAATGGATTCCGAGAAAATCGAGGATCCTGAAGAATCCGGAACGCGAAATCAAACCGGACGATTTCTTCACCTGTAAAGAAAAATTTATCCGTTTTATCCGTTTTTCTATAATGAAAAATCCTTACGTCTTGGTATTCTTGAAAATATGGCCGAAGAACGTAAGGTTTTTCAATCTCGCAGGCCATCTTAGTCAGAATCACTTGTAAATGTCTTTCCGATTTCGGTTTCAAAGATTTGGTCGTATATGGATCCTCTGCCTCCATTTTCTTACCTACTTGTTCTTCAGGGGGGTCTAAAAAAAATATTTTCATTCATGTACATTTAAGGAAAATATTTTTTTCGGTACAAACTTTTATCACGTAAATTTAATATATTTCATAACATATATTCATAACATAATATTGTTTTGGGAATATAATTTTGTGAAGTCAAATATGTTTATCGATATAAATAATCAATACCGCTATCGTGAATGGTTCTGCAAAACTGGTCAAAATCCACCCTCCCATCGCTTGTTCGAAAGAAGGCAGCTATGTTCAAGATTTCTTCGTCAGTCAGACCGATGATGTGCTTTAGCGGACCGCAAAGGACGGATAGGAACCTGTGCTCTGTTCAATAAAACGTCCGTTTAGTGTTTTCTTCGCATATTCCGAAGTTTATTTTCTTACCCGCCGTTATCCGCTTTCCCGGGGGCTCTAAGTCGCGGAAGATGTCCCAGAAGTTGAAGCCGGTCCGGTAAGTCGCCGCCTGAATTCTTTTCAACGAATGCCATATGTCATAACTTCCCCGAACCTCGCACTGGAAGAGAATGTAAAAAATCAATTTTAAAATTATTGGAATGTAAAGATATGTTTCAACAATCTCATCAGCAAAGCTTTTTAAAAGTAAAATACAATCCTTTCAAATAGATTACACGACATTTGAAAAATGGCAAAAAGGATGGAAAATTGAAAAGGTGAGGTTGAGACGGAAGTTAGTGTCCGAGTAGATCGAGGTCACGATAGCTCAAGTGGTATTGTAGCGGGGTATCTAGCCGAAGATCATGGGTTCGAATCCCGCTCGTGCCATTGACTTTTTTATCTCAACTAAAAATCCTTAATTAATTGTAATATATTAATTGGTCAAGCGGACCACGAAACCTAATAAAACTCTTTATTTCTGTTGTGCAACGTTTAACAATGAAGGTTAAATATTCATTTTAACCCTATTGTACATACCTTAATTAATTAAAATAACCAATTACAAAGCAAAATAATTGCTCATATGAATAAATGTTTCTTTTTTGTTTATTGCACACATACTGATGCCATTAATGTTTTCCACGGTTCACCTAATCCCCAAAAACCTACAAACCAAAATTTTCTATTGACTTATCAGTTTACTGCAAATTATTCGTAAACTCCTTTATAGAAAACTCATTTGTAAGCAAACTTCTTATCTTTGAATCCTCTAATATAATCCCGGATCTTGAGTTTGATTTTAGGAGTCACCATTCCACTGTTAAACAGTGTCATCGCGTTGTGGAAATTAAATCTTCCCATCACATGAGCTTCCCTCGGAGGTATTCCTCAATGTCGAACAGTCATTCGATCAGATTTAGAACTTGCGCTTGCTCTGGAAAACCTATATCCTTTACACACGTCCTCATCCTCAACTCTTCACTCTCTATTTTACAATGCGGGCACGGGCGGCCCTCAGGATAGCGATCATGGTTCCTTATTGTACTCAGTATTTACAGCTGACCTCTCATTCCACCACTACTCAATTATCCTAACATATGCTGAAACTGCCAATCTATCCTGAAACTCCCTCCCTTTATAGCCGACCCATCTACTCACACCTATATTTTCTGAAACGACGGTTCGAAAAATGACGAATTAGAGAAAACATTATAATCTTACAAAACATAAACTCTGCTCTTATCGCATCATTCTACTGTATGAATTTATTAAAACCTCACTCGCCTTCCTACCAAAAACGACATCCATTACATTCGTCTGTACATTGACTAGTGACTACCTCACCTGAAACCAGGAACAAAATGGATTTAAAATACTTGTCATTTAACTGCTCATATAGAACTAATTATCATTGCTCATATACAACTACGCTAACCATTCCTAACCATCCCTCAACACGATGACCGATGTGGACATAGGGTACGAAACTATGAGGTTCAACCAAACTTCAGATTTTCTTGGAATTCACACTTACCATTAGATCCATTGTCAACGAACCATCTATGTCTCCAACCGCAATATCTATCCTTTAAAAACCTTAGTATTCCCTTCATAAAATATTTTGCGTGACGTTCAACAACTTTTTCCCTGTCATTACCAAGTAACTCTCATCGGAATCTAAATGGACATCTCAGCCATGGAAAGTAAAATTATAATTAATCTCTATTGTAGGAGTGATGTCAATCGATAATTTTTCGACTCAAGTTAATGTCATGTATTATTTCACGAAGAGCTGTATATTTATTGAATATTATTTAAATTAATACATTTGTCAGGTCTTTAATTTTGATATATTTATTCATGTCAAAGAAATATTCTTCCTAGCATAATTAAATTCAGAGAATTAATTAGTCTAAAATTATTAAGTTATTTAAATGTGTTAAACATTTTCCAAGATCCTTACAAATAGATAAAGTAAACGAAGTGTATTTTTGAAGAATAAATAGACAATCAACTCCCAGAGGAAAAGCCTAAACGGAATTACAAGGAAAAACGTTTGCTGAAAAGGCAGAAAAATTGAATTTTCTTAAAAATAAAATTAGTAGCACGACGATGATAAAAAATTTAATATAATTTTACATTGAATTTTTTACAAGAGGAAAAAGAAGCTGGAACGTCGGGAAATTAGAGGGTCGTTTTAACATGACGAGTCTTAAAAACATGGAATTTAAACGATAAGACAAGAAAACGATGGGAATCGAAAAATTAGAAGACTGATAAAAAAGTGTTTGGAAATAATATGTTTACCAATATATTGCCAAAAACCAATACTGCATGTGAAATAAATTAACTAATTTTAAGGAAAGCCCCTTTTGTTGTATCAAATGATCTTATGTCAGTGTATCTCTATCTTAAAACTGATTCCTGGAATTATATTTTGTTTATTGAAAAGTGTTAAATTTTCATAGATTTTTTACTTAGAATTCCACCAGCAATAATTCATTTGCTGGATTCCTTTACACTCGCGGGTTTTTTACGTCACTTACCCTAGTTTCGGCTTTGCGCCATGATCAGTAAAAAACTGCGTGCAAGTCGGTGGACAAATATTGAAGCAGAAATGGTTGTGAATAACAGAATCTAGCGAGAGTAGACGTTCCCAGTGCTGTTTCATAAAATATTTGTCTATCGATGAAAACGGTTTTACCGAAAATTTAGCTGAATTATTGTTTTAAAATGCGATAATTTTCCTACCATCATACATTTCGACAAGCTGTTATCTCTCAATTTAGAAATTTTGAGATCGGGAGGTACTTACGTTCGAATGGAAAGCCCGTAAATTATTATTGTTTTACTAAAGTTTCCGGTTGTCTTACCTTAGTTAAGTGAGACAATTTTATTATACTGCGAGATTTGTCCATCTGGTCTATTGAGTAATGACCTTATCATTTGCCAAAATGCGACTGACTGAACAACTTAGCGAACAGAAAAAAATGTATGAGAAAATTTGAACCGGTAGAAGAAAAGTGTCTATATTATTGATTGATTATAATATAGTAAATATAATTGGATGTTTATGCTACGTGAACATTGTAATTTTTTTATTTTTTTAACGAGGGTTTTTAAATACTAAGTACTAAAAAGCCAATTTGTATGTCGGGTTCGAATGGGCCCCTGGATTTGAACCCGGAATCTTTACCTTATAGCGATGACCGCCGAGTCAACCCGTAAACCGTTGAGGCACCGACACTCCGTACATTGTAATATTAATGAAATATAGCATTGCATAACACCTTGCAGAAACAAGTCACAAAGTATATGTAGAAAATATGTAAATTTCAGTTAGAGAAAAATCGAATAAAACAAAATGTGCTTCAAATCATTTTTATAGATGTTATGACAATAATGTCAATATCACAAAAGGTAAAATAAATGTGTGCTCGTGGTACCAAACACTAATCAATGGGTAAAGAAATACCCGTCCGTAACCATCGTCACGTTGGATATATTTCATGATGTAACAATGAGACTACTCGTTATAGATCGAGAATAACCCATGCGATTTTCCAATTAGCACTCCGGATTTTTAGATTATTTATTGTCATTCATAGTTAGACAAATCAATTTATTACTGTAAAAAATTCCAGAACAATTTTTAATTATTTTATTCTTTTTTACATCTACATTCTTCCGATGCAACAAGTAAAACAAATATTATATACACAATAACAATAAATTGGAAACGTAAACAGCAACCAGCCAGTGATGGAAGCCGATATAACATCTCTTCTGATGAGTAGAATATGCTCCATCCTAGGAGACCGACGTTAAGTAATGAGGTTGTCGTAGGGCCACAGAACTTTCAGCCCCCTGTGAGGAAAATTAGGTAATATGGTGGAAGACAGGTTTTTGACGAACGTGTTCGGATGGTGGGATAGATTGGAGTGGAACCTTTTGATGCGGGATCGTGTAAGATGAGTAACAAGAGGAACATTTAGGTCGGTATGAATGGAGTGATTGTAAACATAGAAGAGAGGGATTGATTATTGTTCCGAGGATTGAGGATTTTGGATTGGATGGATTATATTCAGTAAAGGTTGGAACGCTTAGAGTTGAAATACGCATGTAAAAATGGCGATCAGGAAAGTAATGTAAAGTTTTCTTTTGCATGGCAGTGACAGTTTATATCGAATGTCGAGTAGTCGTTTTAGCATGATAAATCGTGTGTTACAGTCTGTGCGCTTGAGTCGTTTCTGCGGGTTACGTGTCAGTCATTTGTCCCATTATCTCCGAGGTATCGTGCATGTTTCACAACAGGAATAGGAACATTGTTGAGGTGTGAGAGTGTTTTCTTGTTTAGGGTGAATATATGTTGGCTTAGATTTGGTAACGTTGTTTCTCTACTTTGGGAGCCAGGATTCGAGGATATGCAAGTGATTTTGAAGATTTTAAAAAGATAAATTATCTCAGGCGTCTGACATCTTTTAGTCAGTCCGTTCGCGTTTCATAGGAGGATGGTAAGTGTGTGAGAACCATTAAGGGGCATGTTTAGGAAGGAGGCTGTTCACTGCTGTCGTTATGAGAGCTGAAAGTCGTCTGGCTTTAGGCCGTTTGGCTGAGACTGGACGAGAAGATGGGGGATAAGAGAAATATGAGTTGAGCAGGTGTGGTGACGGGCCTGGAAGAACGAAAGTTCTAGTGAGGTGGAATGTTTGGCTGCGAAGATTGCTGCTGGGTTGTTGGATACTTGCAGCCAGTATGACCTCCTTAGACGATGAAGTTGTTTATGGACAATGCAACCTATGTAGTTGTTCGTTGCCAAATGGCCAAGTGGCTGGCGAAGCTTCTTAGTGCAGGCTTGGGTCATGTGCTCAGCAGCACATTTGACGCATTTGCACCTATGCTCGCAGTGGGATTTGGTGTGGTGCCCATGTTTGCATTGCACAATTAAACGCTGCTTGTGAGTTCTTTAACTTACATTCTATATTCTATTGATGTTCAAAACATTTTTGTTATTTGTACTGAGATAGAGGTCCACAAGGAATAGTGGTAGGGTCTGTTTGGTGGGTGGGTGAATTACAGGTGTAACATTCCGTACATTGTGGCCAAGTTGGGTCAGGTCCTTTTTTATCAGTTCAGGGTGTATAGTCTGGTGCAGATTCCATATTACCATTCGGTGCTTTTTCCTCTTGTAACGGAACTTGTGGTAATCAGAGCTACACGCTGCTTGAGCTATGTCATACATCAGTAAATGCCTCTCTAGCTTTCAGTCGTAAAGCGATGATAAATTGAGATCTTCTCTTTTGTAGTGAATTTGTATTTTCACACTAGTTGCGATAATGTTCCACATCATGGCAATGTTTTCGACGTGTTTACGTACATGGAGGGAGGTTTGTGAGTACGGACTTCTAAAATCGGAATGATGAATTCTCTATTTCATCGGACCACTTAAAGGAGCGAATAGGTGGCTAGTAAACACTTCTGGTAGAGCTGTAACGGGGACTTCGTTTCTTCGAAGGATATAGGACCGGAGATTTGGCTGCTAAAGCGGCCCATAGACGAATAATATTATTGCGCAATATTTTGGGTTGTGCAATTTAATTGATCGTGTGTAGACGATATTGAAAGTTTGTGCAATACATTGCATGATTGACGAAAAGTTGAAAATATATTGTACAACCTGGAAAATATTGCACCGTCTTTTGGCATTATTGCGCAATATCGATCAGTTTGTGAAGTACAACAAGTAGTAACAAAATATTGCACAAACTTCAATATCACCTTCAAACTATTCAAGTTCATTGCACAAACAAAATTTTGTACAATATTATTGAACGTTAACGGGCAACCGCTAAATTATTGTGCAATCTATATTGTACAAAAATAGTGACCGTCTATGGGCCGCTTTAGCGATACTGGTGCCTTTAGTTGAATCGTGGTCTGATCGGCCTTTTCTTTGGCCAAATTTCGCGTAAGGTGAGTAGCGTCTCGAGCCTTTTTTGATTTTTTGGGTGAATTGCCAGGCCTGCTCCTTAACCTCCTAACCGACGTTGCTGAAGTTTTCGATTCATTGTCTATGGTGCTTGTTAGACGAGTCATTACTTGTCGTATGAACCAATACACATTTATCGTTGCATCGAATTTAAAAACAGTGCACTTTTTTTTTAATAAGAGGATATAAAATGGAGGGAAAAATAATAACCGACGTTAAAGACGCTCTGACTCGGAAATGTTTACCTTTATGTCTGATAATGGATCGAGCAGAATTCGGGTTATGCCGATAATCCAGCCTGTGCAGATAGATTCCAGTTTGGATGAAAGATCTATATATACACACTTGTACTTACTGCTTGTTAATTACTCGTTAAAATAGATGTCAATATGTCTTCGGGAAAAGAAGCACGACTCTAACGACGCGTGCGGAATGCTAACTTTGTACCAATTCAGCTCTGGATCAGCAATAATATGAACTTTTGGGAAGATTTTGGCAGTACAACATTTCTGTCCAAGATCTTTAACTCAACTTTCGGTTCCAATTTAATTATATTTTTAGGGAAAAAAAGGTTCTTCAAGTTCATTAAATTTTGCTTCATGGTATTGTATATATTTAAAATGGGATAGATTTTCATTGTTTACACAGTCATCGTAAAAGTTTAACGGTGTAAAAAAAGGCTAATAAACTTTAAAGGAGACTTCTTGGAAAAATATGTTCTGCCAAATATAAAATTCAGATTCTCCTACGCACGAATTCATAGCGTTGAAAGAGAAGGGTAATGAGAGAGTTGAAATATTCCACCTAACATCTAAAGTAATAATAATTTGAAGCGTCTGAGCGTAGAAGTCCATGGCTCCACTTTTCAAGCATATTGAGATTCATATTCCTCTCATGTATGCAACTAACATTATTGCATCATTTTTTAATAAAGTCCGCATGCTTTTTTTTTTCTCACAAAGAAAAAGAAGAAATTTCCCAGTGTTACAGCGCAAAATTTACATTTTTGTTCCCCCTATTTCAGTAAAATGGCGTTCCAGTTACAACTGGATCGAATGCCACTCGGTGTACATTTGTTAGAAACCTTGACTCAGTGAAAGTTTGATCGAAGCACGAGATATTGACAAACTTTTCCAGCGGAGAGATTGAAGGTTTAGTTAATTTCAAATTGTGCGGTCTGTCTCCTTGGAAGTTTTGCTTCTGATCAATCACTTCAAGTTTGTTCTCTTGTCCTAACCTCTGTCTCCCTCAATCATTCTCTCTCAGCTCCCCTCGACTCCTTCGATCTACCTCTTTGCCTTTTTCCATGCCAAACAATTTAATGCCCGCCTTCGGGAAAACTTGCCCGGTCTTCTTACAATTCTGAGTTAAATTAAACGTTTCTAAAGCTCTTCTTCCCCGCAAACAATAGTTTCTCCTTTTCTCTCGAAATAAAGAGCTTAAGAAAATAGCAACAGAAAAGTTATCTGACCAATAAAGAACTTTTTACTTTTCACCTTAAAGATCCTGTATAACAAAAGAGAGGATTTCAGACTTTTGTAGGTCAAAAACCAATGGAAATCTTTTACTAAGTTATTGAAGAACAATTCCCTTCTACATGGGTTATAATCTCTATTCCAATACATATAATTTTTCACGTTTTCGTTTTATGCTATTTTCTTAGACTGGGATTCAACCTTCAACATTCAGAAGGTTCAATATTAGTCGGTAATGAAAATAACACATAATAATATAAATGGTTAACATTCATAGGACTATCTGTAAAACGCATAAGTAAATAAATTTATATAAAAAACAAATAAATACAAGTATACATATTTACATTCTTAAAATTACGATTAATGTAAACGTTTGTAAATACTACTTGGTCACCAGCTATGTGAGATGATTTAAAGAATTATCGATGAATCGAGGTGAAAATAATACTTTACGAGAAAACTCAATAAACGAAACCAAATAAAACCTTCATAAGACAAGTTCCAGCAGTACTTGAAACACATTCACATTTATTTTGTAATAGATCACGTCGGAGTTTTCCCTTGGCACATCATTCCTTTTATGTATTTTAAGTTTAGTTAAAGCAATATATGTTTATGTAAATTTGTTCTTTGGAGCATAAAGTGTTTCTGGGTAGAAAACTAAATTTTAGTTATGATTAAAAAATATCTACAATGTGCAAAATTTGATGCAAGAACAGTCCAATACGGGTTTATAAAATTGTATAAAAACTTACATCACCAACGCCTTCGTCCATTGTGGAAAAAGTAAGATTATGTTTAATAGAATTGACTGTATATTGAAGTTGATTTATAAAATTATGAGAACACAAAACCTAAAAATAACATAAAGTGTTAGTCAGCTGGTTAAAACTATAAAACTGTTTACATGTCCATGCACAAGTCTTAATTATTTCCCGCTAAAAATTGAAAATATTTAATAACTTAAACGTCGCTCCAACTAAAACAAAATTATTATTTATAATGTATAAATGTTGACAGTTTTCTATGGCTAACATTTAAAACATAATTATTTAAATATCTGTAAATATATTAAGATTTATTACAGAATCATGTCGTTATTCGTTCTTATGTTATATTACCAGATGTCAAAATGATTGTTTCATATAATGTTTTATCAAAAATGTTCTTACAAACATGTTAGTAATGTTACGACAAAATATTAAATTTGCAGATTTCTTCCCATATCAGTTACATAAATGGTGGAACAATATATTGAATATTCATATACGCTCAGTTTTCTTCGCCCAACTACCTCGGTCCAGGCCATATCCAAAACATGATACCTTATCAATAATTTACCCATAAATAAATAACTAAATTCTGTGGAAAATAAAATGGGTAATATTTATACAACTATTTGTTTCTTTTGTGCAAAATATTTCGTTACGCTTCACATATAAATTTCAGTTTTGCAGTGCTTTCCCTTCAGTCTTCTTCTTCATCAGTTTGCTGATTTTATGTATGTGTATAAATCAGTTATTTTGAATTTTTATTTCTGAGACGACCAGTAATTGAACTAACTAATTGAATTAACAAAAAAAAAGTTCTATGAACTTTTATGAAATCTCTCAAAATTACATAACTTTTCACAAGAATTATATGAGTTTTATAATCATAGAGATTATTTAGTTGAGATTTTGTTAGGTAGCGATGAGCTTTACGCAGCGTTGGACAAATTCCAATCTAAAATTGGATTAACGATTAACGATTAATTTAATCATTAGCGGCTCGATTAACGATTAACCGCTAATCATTAATCAAATTTCAAATAGATTAAATTAATCGTTAATAGTTTATCAAATTTGAGATTCATTAAATTAATCGTTAATCGTTAATCAAATTTGAGATTCATTAAATTAATCGTTAATCGTTAATCCAATTTCAGTTTTATTTAACTAATGATTAATCATTAACATTTAAACATTACTGCATTAGGGTTTTATCAGAACAGTTTTTTTCAATATGGTCTAACTAGAATAACTAGAATTTATTTCATATCACTTTTAAATGTTTTGATGGACCATCGATTGTTTGTTCTTTGACTGAATACGCCAAAATTTACGGTTAGAAGATCAAGGATTGGTTTTAAATCCGAAGAAGGCTCGTATTGTAGTATGAATAGTATTTAGTCGTGCATTGTATGACGAATAAAGTATTATTCTATGATTATAATCAAAACATAAGTCAAATCAAAATCCTTACACTCCGCACATTCCTTAATATTATTATTAAAATACAAAACTATTAACGGTTTATATAGAAAAATATAATATTAAATAAATTATATTTAATCATGATTAACTATACAGATCGTAGATCGTAAATATTTAACGAATGTATCTAGCCTTTACATGGCGAATGTTGTACTTTTTTGTTGTCAAAAATTATATGAGTAAAAGCCCGGTGTGGCGTCGTTATGTAAATAATTACGTTGAATGACAATTTAAGTAATCAATAAATTAATCATTTAATCTGATTAACGATTCATTTAATCATTAATCACACGTTCGAATAATGATTAATCGGATTAATCATTAATCGAAAGTTCGATTAACGATTAACTTTTTAATCGTGAATAGTTTGAAAATTAATTAATCTTTAATTGTGATTAAAAACATTAATCAATTACGCCCAACTCTGGCTTTACGCTTACGAAAGAGGATATTAAACTATATCAAAATTCAGAGAAACACACATTTCGAGTGATGTACTTTGTAAAAGAATGAAGCTGTACGCACGACGCCTATTTTTTTATGACGGTGACCAGAAGAATACTAGTGAGCGGTGGGGGGGTTTGTGTTTCTCAAGCACTTTGCGTTTATTGTACATTTCCTACTTCATTAATTCAATTCAATTAACTTCATCCTTCTTTTAAGAAGTAGTAGGTAATTTTTGGTCATTGCAAATTTTTTTCCCAGGTTTTCTCTGTAACCTTGGTTACGTTTCATTAAGCGGGTTCTTGGGCATTAGAAGATAATATGTGTAGCATTTTCTTCATCCTAAAGTAAAGTAATTCCTGCGTATAAGATCACATATGTCTAACTGCCCGTTTTAGTGTCTCTGACGAGTGGTGTAAATACATTTTACATAATATTTTCATTTAAGAAAACTTACAATACGCCGAGATTCGAACACAAGACCGCTTGCTTGGCAAATACGAGTCGGAAACCTAACCACAAGGCTACCGTGGACCCCATCCTTTGTGCCTTCATGGTACACTACAACTTACAATTTATTGGCTGTAGTACTTTTCCAGGTAGTAGATGTTTTCACCGATACTTTTTTAATTTCCCCTTTTTACATGATAATGCTTTTCAGGCTGTTTGCTGTGTGACTTTATGGGAAGATTCTGGATAAGATACATTCTTTTAATATTGTATATGGTACAGGCATTGATTGCGTGCTATTCAGCTTGAAAAACTTCCATGATCAGTTTGATCTTTTAAAAAAGATAGTTCCGTCTCACAGCAAGTTGTTTTTACCCATCGAGATTTCGAGCTTATAGCTCATCATCAATTACAATTTATGTCGAGTGATCAGTTTGATTTCATGAATTGTACTCATATTTTGGGATTACCATGAATATAAGGTTATGGAGCCATCTCAATAATTGTATTTGATTTTGTCATAATTTCTTTGGGCTGTTGTAGTCAATTAAACTGGATCTTTCCGGAATTCCATGAATTGAAAGAAGCTGAACACGAGATGAATCTTTATAATACTTTATTCGTCAAACAATGCACGACTAAATATTATTCATATTACAATATGAGCCTTCTTTGGTTTCAAACCACTCCTTGATCTTCTAACAGTAAAGTTTGACGTATTCAGTCAAAGAAAAAAATCGATAGTCCATCATAAATTTAAATTTAAATAATGTAAAGTGATGTGAAAAAATTCTATTTATTCTAAATAGTTAGACCATAGCTAATACAAAATGATCTGATCAAACCATAATGCAGTAATGATTAAATATTAATGATTAATCATTAGTTTGCTTTTTTTAGGGAGCGATAAGCTTTACGCAGAGTTGGGCAAATTCCAATCTCAAATTTGATAAACGATTAACCATTAACCACTAATCGTTAATCGAGCTGCTGATGATTAAATTAATCGTTAATCGTTTATCAAATTTGAGATACTTTAAATTAATCGTTCATCGTTAATCAAATTTGAGATTGATTAAATTAATCGTTAATCGTTAATTAAGATTGATTAAATTAATCGTTAATCAAATTTGAGATTGATTTAACTAATGATGTGATAATAATCTTTCCGGAATTCCATGAATTAAAAGAAGCCGAACATGAGCTGAATCTTTATAATTCACAATTATTCGAAAATCGTGAGATGCGGTCTGGTATGACGTAGGTTTCAGAAAAACATTTTCTTTATCGTGCCGTCAGTAATGACCACATATAATTCAAAATCTCGAACATGTGCTCTCCTGAACAGGACAAATGAAAAAAGAACAAAATCCAAACATCACAAAACAACTAAAATACGGCATGCGTCCGACATGCAATTATTTATTGACCTCATTACAAACTTTCGCATCTCGTAACCAGGAAGGTTTGAGCGGTTTTTCATGTGTAATTTTTTTAATATGGTTAATTAATACTTACATTTACATAGTAGATTTAGGTATTTACATCACGTATTATGAAGAGAATAATGATCAGTTCATTAAGAAAACATGTCTTTAACAGTTCACTGTAAATTATAAAATATTTTCTTTCTCGTGGCTTCAAAAACCATAGTTCCTGCCTGCTTATTGTATAAATTTTAGCTCACTTCTAAGGCCGAGGCATCTCATTAAATTTGACCTGTATTGTGTGATGAACCTGCATTAAGTGTTGAGCACTGAACAAAAATGGTTCAAAAAGTTGGTTGCTGGGAATAAGGGCATTGAAGATGAATTACGGACTGGTACGCCTTCTCTCTTCAATGACGACGAATTAATGGAAGGTACCGAATGTCAGGAGCAGGCGATGTGTTCTGAACTGCTCCATCATTGCCGATATAATTTTCACGATTCATGAGCTAATGTTATTTGAACTCCTTCGGCCGCCCTAGTACCGAGCCACAATCCATACAATAAACACTGACGAACCGTATTCTGACGTCGTGAGAAAAAACAATTTAAATTCAAATTCATAATGAACTGCGCATTATAGTATATGACTTCTGTCTAATGTTGGAAGTTTAGGCGACGCCAAACATCTTAGGACATCAGTGTATTTGTACTTCTTTCCCGGGTCTTTCTCGCGTATTTTTCAACCTGCAGACATTTGAGCGTCTTGTTCTGTGCTCTTTATGAAAACCATAAGAACTAGGGTGATACCCTGAAAGGCAAGCTTCTCATTTGTACCTCAGGTTGACAACTACAAGTCACTAAACATATAATACATAATTATACCTAACCATACTATACAAACTGAAGTCTGGTCATATTCCGTCTCCCAGAGTACTCGATATTCTTTTGGAAGGGATTGTACCCACTTCAATTTCCCTTATAACTTACTTTTACTCTCGAAATGTTTAACACTTACCCCAGAATACTTGATCTTCCGCGGGAAGGGGTAAAACAATTCTTTAGTTTAAAAATTTGAAAGAAACATGATTTACCTAAACTTGCACCATATAGTGCCTTACATTCGATGGCTTCGGACCTCCTAGAACTCCTTGCTTTTATGCTAACATTACGTTCATCCAAATAAATGAACATAAACACACACAAATGCAATATTAATTTAAAAATTTAGAGTGAACTGTTCAAGCCACGTTTTCTCTAATACATGTTGCGTTATTACAGGAACTGTCGATTAAGGATATTCAAACAATAGAAAA